GCAGTGGAACTATATGGGCCGGTCCTTGGGATGGAAGAGCCACAGCTACTACTGAAGCCCCACCCTAGCCGCACAGATGTACAGAAGGCAGAGGAGAGGAGAGCAGTGGAAATCTATGGGCCAGTCCTTGCGATGGAACAGCTAGCGAGGCCCCACCCTAGCTCTGGGGATAAAAGGCAGGGGGCAGAAATGAATAGATGTGGCAGATAACTATTCCTCTTCCAGCCGGCCGGAATTGTTAGCCTGCGGTGAGAGAGAAACTTTTTTGCCAGCGCTCCTAATTAAAGGAATCTTTGAGTTCATTTCAGAGGGTTTGTCGTGTTTGGGGAGCTGGGTCAGAACAGGTGTGCTGGCTCCTGCACTAGGCTCCTTCCACCCTCAAGGCACTTTTGTGTGCTGCTTAACGACCGCAACATGGAAGAGCAGTGGGGTGGGAATCATTTAAATGAGTCAATCTCACTTAACAAACACCATGACATGTGGCCATAATGGGCAGGATCCATTACAGTCACAGTCTGAGGACTACCTGAATCTGACTTTTTTTTTTATTTTTACCTCCGCAGCCTAGTGGAATAGACAGAAAATCCTGCTGACTTGCTCTCGAAATAGTCACTCAGAAGAGGATCTTAATCATCCCCCATCTCATGTTTCTGAAATGAGCTTCTGATCTCCCCTCATTAAAACTGTGCAGCCAATATTTCTAAATGAATGGACAGCTGGTACGAGCTGTCTGTGTGAGGAGCACAGCAATCTATGCTAACGAGACAGCAAGTCGTTGCAATTTCATAGGATGGTTTGAATTAACATGAATTATTGTATTGCGGTTCAGGCTTCTTAGCCTGATGAACTGCCCTGCCGGTTGGAGAAAGAGGTCAGACAGTAGAAGTCATTAGAAAGTTTGCTCGGAGAAGTAGCAAATGCAATGTGACTGTCAGGGTTCCAACGGATGCCCGAATTAATTCCCTAATGTGGTGTTTCTCAACCTTGGCAACTCTCAGATGTGTGGACTTCAATTCCCAGAATTCCCTAGCCAGCACACACCTGAAAGCTGCCAAGGTTAAAAAAAAAAAAACTGCCAAATTCGTGAGGGCCAGAAGCCGTGGGACACATCACAAATCCACCACAACCTTCCTACAGTCAGTTATTCCTCCAGAAATAAGCAACAACATCGTCAAAATAAGCTGCACCATAGCAATTCCTGTACAACTTTCAAGTTTTATTGTATAGAAACCATCTTGTCTTCCTTCCCTGGTCCCAAATACTGACTCCCCCCTCCCCCACAAGATGTAGGTGTTACTAAGAGGAGTGATATTTCTCTCTCTAGGCACACTGAGAATATATCTGCTGAACAAAACTCCCTATTGGCGACAGGAAGGGCATCTGGCCATTAAAACACTGTGTTAGCTCCATTCAGTTGTCCAGACTCCACCCGCAAGGGATTATGGGGTCATTAAATGAAGATGAAGAAGATGAAGGTGTCACTAAGAATTACAGGCAGTCCTTGACTTATAACTATAAGGGGGAACCAGAATTTCCATTTTAAGCAAGGTCATTGTTAAGCATGTCATGCCTAATTTTACCACCATTTTTGTCCTGGTTGTTAAGTGGATTATGTGGTCATTAAGCAAATTGGTCTTTTCCCATTGGCTCTGTTCAATAGGAAGCTGGCAGGGACGTCGCAAATGGCAACCCCGTAATCCCGGGATGCTGCAAATTTCGTAAATCCATGCCGGTTGCCAAGCACCCAAATTGTGATAATGTTAACCGTGACTCTTGTTAAGTCCCTTTCTTCAGGGCTGTTGTAACTTCAAATGTGCCACTAAGCAAATGGTTGTAAGGCAAGGACTACCGGTATCGACACCGAGCAGAAGGAGAAACAAAAGATTTTACCACTTTCTCTGGATGTCGGAGACGGTGGCGGGGTGGCGGCCGTAACACTGTATTTATCCCAGATGCTCTCCAAAATACCTGTCACGAAAGAAGAACAAAGTCTCAGCAGCTGCAAATCCATTCGCATATTCGGCGCTCAGCCTCAAGTTACAAGTTTGTTATTTCAAGCATGTCGGTGGAATTCGGGGGATTTGAGGAAACCTCACGCGCGTTTATGACTTGCGCTCTGCGTATCATGGTCTCTTTACCTGTCAATCAGGACCAGATTCTTGACTCTCTCTTTGAAGAACTCAATGCGGATGCCGAAGGAGAATGCTAATAACATCCCTTTCTTAGCAGAGAAAAAAATGGGTAGGAGGTCTTAGAGACAGCAGGATTTCCAGATATAAAACTGATAATTAAGAGGATAATTAAGATACCTGTGAGAAGTCCGAGGACATTCTGAACCTGCTCCAGGAGCAACTTCCGCAGCTCCTCCTTCCGTGCAATGCTGAGGTCTTCCCACGGGCAGGCCAGCTCTTCGGACGTGGTCTTCAGCATGATCAGCCCAAGTGGAGTTGTCACTGGGGATTGGATTAACTGTTAAAGAGAATGGATTTTTAGCATGAGTAAAGGTAAAGGTTTCCCTCACACGTTTCCGGCTCTAGGGGGCGGTGCTCATCTCCGTTACAAAGCCGAAGAAGAGCCAGCGCTGTCCAAAGACGTCTCTGTGGTCAGGTGGCCAGCAGGACTAAATGCCAAAGACGCATGGAACGCTCTTCCCTTCCCACCAAAGGGGTCCCTATTTTTCTACTTGCATTTTTTTACATGCTTTCGAACTGCCAGGTTGGCAGAAGCTGGGACAAGGAACGGGAGCTCACTCCGTTAGGTGACGCTAGGGATTCGAACCACCGAACTGCCGACCTTTCTGATTGACAAGTTCCGCATCTTAGCCACTGAGCCACCCGCGTCCTTTTTAGCATGAGTAGCTTTCTTTTATGTGTCTATTTGTCTACCCACCCACCCATTCATCCACCCATCCTTTCTTTGGAAAGCTACTTCCGGAGCATTTAGAATATTTAGAATAGAGAGCTAGCCTGGTGTATACCTAGACTGAGGCTGCCCTCAGTTAATGATGGTCATTAGGACTGGAATTTACGTAGCTAAGTAATGCAGTTGTAAAGCACAGCGTCGCACAGCTGCATCGCTCAGCAACAGCAATCCGCATTGCCGCCGCTAAGCAACTACTGTAGGTCCTTGGCAGCTCACAAGCAGGCTGGTAGGCAAGGTGCGGTGTGAGCATAGTGGCACTAGGGGTAGCTACTACCAGGTGAGGGAAGGTGGAAGTACTTAGCGGAGTGACTTGTAATCTTCCCTATCAGCTTCCAATTGGCTCTGCAGAAAAGGTTGCAAATGATAATCATCTGAGGTCATTAAGGGCACTGCAACCGTCATAATGTAAGGTTGTTGCAAATTTCCAGATCATGATTATGTGACTATGGGCAGTGCTGGGATGTGGAATTCGAGAACTGGTCATTGAGTCTCTTTTTTCAGTGCTCCCATAACTTCAAACGGTTGCTGAACAAATGATTGGTAAGCGACATTGCAGTGATTAAGACATCAAGCAAGGAACCAGGAGACTATGAATTCTAGTTTCCATCTTAGACACAAAAGCCAACTGGGTGTTGTGGTTAGCTGGTAGCAGGTATGGACGGTTGAGGAGAGCGAGGACTCAGATGAGGGGCCAGGACCATTAGGGAATGGACTGCTGCCTTCAGAGATTGTGGGGGCTGGCAGCAGTGATGAGGAGGTTCCCGAGGAGCCTGTGCTAAGTGTGTGTGCACGCAGGGCTGCTCGCAGGAAAGAGCACCTGCAGCAGCATGGGCGACTCGGGAGTAAGGCTGCAAGGTAATGGGCCCTCCTTCAAGAAGATAAAAGCCGTGAATCGGACATTCTCTGCAGGAAGCAAAGACGTTTTGAAACTCAGCCTCGTGGACATTGCAGTATCTTAAGTTGGTATTTGAAGACTCTTGTGTTGTAAAATATTTCTAGGTAACCTTATCTGTTATTCTTGGCAGCCTCGCACAATTTTGGCGAGGCTCGTGCTTATCAAAGTTAATTAGTTTGCAGCAGCCTTTTAACCGGGGATTCGTAAGAATCATTAAAAGGTTTCTGTTCCCTTTGGTTCATGTTTGTTTTATTGGCAAAGGGTTCAGGCCAGTCACTCTCTCTCAGCCCTAGGAAGCAGGCAGTGGGAAATCACTTCTGAAATTCACGAGTCAGGACTGACTCGAAGGTACCAGCAATAAGAATGGACAACACTTAAGATGATTTTGTTTCCGAACAACAGAGTTAGCTTCTAATCTTACCTGTAAAATATTTGTGAAGAAGTCATGATAAAACATAGGCCAGTCTTGCCGGCCAATATCCACAATGACCTTACAAAGTTTGTTTCGGATGAAGTAAGGCAAAGTTTTATGGTGAGCTAAAAGAAGTTTCGGCAGGCAACTGCGAATCTCTGTTTTATCCTGAGATGGGACCCCAAGCCACATCTTGTTAATCAGGTTCTGAAACAGACAGACATTATTATTATGAACCAGGTTGAAACATAACCTTCTTTGCTGAAGTCTACAGCTAATCTTCAAGGTATTATTAAATACAGAGGTTAGCTTGATAAAAATACCAACTTTAAAAATATATGCTACTTGGAAAGCTGCTTTTATTTACTAACTGAATTCAGTGGGAAAGTATTTATTTACAATTAAGAGGTAAGTTCTCGTTCACAGGAGGAACTAAAGTTCTAATAATTCCTGCTAGTAACTAATACTAATAGGATTGCAGGAGAATGAAGAAATAGGCAACTATTGAGACCAATTTAATCTCATTTTGATCAATTTGATTCACACTTAAAATATATAACTGTGACTAACTCAGAATTATACATAAAAAAAATATAAAATACTTTCTCTGCCATAAATAACGGAGCTTGAGACTAATTTCTTTTAAAATTAACGACAATGTTAAATGCTTCATTTTATAGCTATCACCACCCACATGAAAACAGTCAAGCCTCTGCTTTATGAACTGTTTTTGACTGAAACAGACTGAATAATCTGTTAGGGTGCAACATTTCTTGGTTCCCCCCCCCCTCCAGTACATGTTTCTGCAACCCAAGTACAGATTTTGGAACAAAGTACCAGCGCAAAGGAATGAAATATTCATTTAATGGACCACATGGGGTGAAGAAATGTCTGTTAAATCCTGATCCCGCAGCGCACTACTGGGCCATGACCTATTCGGAATCGGGCCGTGCGAGTGGCTGGCTGGAGCACACGCATGTGAGCAACTCAACTTGAGTGAGCGACAGGTGAGCACTCATGCGCATGTGCATTGACCTACCATTCGCGCAAGTCGAGCTGTGCGTGCCGACCAGCCTGCCATTTGCACGGCCCACTTCCCCCCTCCCCCAGCTGGGCCGCCAAGCTGCGAAGATTAGGGGCCGCTATTATAAGGAGTCTTGTTGTGGCCCGACAGTGGCCAACGGAGCTGGCAGCAGATTTAGACAGTGAGGAGGTTGGGGAGGAACCTGGGCCAGTCCTGGAGTCTGAGGAAGGCTCTGACAAGGGCTCTGCATTGGAGGCGGAGATGGCGCCAGGGCCGTCTGACGGTTATCAGCTGTCTTCGGAGTCGGAGATCAGTGGGGCAGAAGAATAGCTGGAGCCTGTTTCCAGTGTGCGCAAGCACAGAGCTGCTAGGAGAAGGGAACAGCTAAGAAACAAGGGTTGACTGGGGAGTAAAGCCAGCAGTGGACAGTGAATGGCCCCTCCCCTAGAGAATAAAACAGGAGTGAAAAGGAAATGAGGCTTTGCAGGAGACAATTAGTTTCTTCTGGCATGCTTGCCAAGGATTGCGGTGTCTGAAAGGTATCGGCCTGGCCACACTCCAAGCTTGATAAAGGTTTGTAAATCAAATAAAGGAGGTTTATCAGGACGTGGTCTCCGCTTCATGCTGTTGGGGAAGCCTAGGTCAAAACAAGTCTGATACAAACATGGTTAGCCCAGTCTGGTAGCTCACCTCAAATACCGTCAAACTATACATCATGACATAGTCATTTCTCGTGCTTGACAGGAAATAGAGGCAGAATCTCCAGGCACCGACCTGCTGAGCGAAGTTATTCAGAAGCTCTTCTGGATAGACAAATAAAGCAAAACCGAATGAAACATGCATGAGACTTTAGAACAAAAGGAGGGGCTGCACAGCAGAAAGCCCTTTCTCTATCCCTCTTGTTTTACAAGAAAAGCCAGCAGGCCTGGCCCCGAGCTATTTATACCATTATTTACATTTAAGTTACTATCGATCAGAGGTTCTAAAAGCTGCAGCCAAAGACCACTGAGCCTATAAAAAGAATGACTGATACAACCCTAACCACAGGGCTAAAACTTATTTTTAACCTGCTGATGTTGAAATGCTTAAAAACTGGCTTTTCCTTTGAACCACTTGGGCTAAAAGTCTTGGTTGATCTAATGGTTGGTTGATCAATGTACTTCTAGCCCACTCCTGGCTCTAAATAACAATCATTATTCATCAAAAGGGGCGGAGTGAGTAACGTTCCATTATAATTCATATCCCACTTTCATCAAACCTTCTACCTGGTGACTGCCCCCCAATCATTGCCCTGTAGCTCAGGGGTCACCAACCAGTGGGCCGGGGACCACTGGTGGTCTGCAAGAAAATTCTGGTGGTCTGCACCGCCCACATGGCCCACGAGAACACAAGGCTTGTGCTGCTTGCATTGCAAACAACACGAGGTAGTGAGTGGAGGGGGAAGGGAACTCGCCCCACTCGCCCCACGTGCCTCGCCTGGCCACTGGGCTGCTTCTTCTGCTTTTGGCTGCATGCAAGGAAAGCAGCAAAAGTCTTTCTTTCTCTCCCCCAAACTCTGACAGAAATGAGTCTTTGGGACCCTGCAAGGCCTCCTGCTTCAAGAGGCTGCGCCGGTGCGACAAGTCTCGCAAAGACTCATTTCTGGCGGAGTTTGGGGGAGAGAAAGAAAGACTTCTGCTGCTTTCCTTGCATGAAGCCAAAAGTCTCAGTCTCTCTCTCTTTCCCTCCCTCCCTCTCTCTCTCTCTCCCCGAGAACAGAGCTGGACACAGTATCCTGCGCCCCCAAATAAAGAATGATCACCATCGGTAGGATAACGGGGTGGGGAATTTTCCTGCAGACTTTTTGGGGGATTTTCCCAGGGTCCCTGATCCGCAGGATTTAAAATTATGAGTTTGGTGGTCTCTGAAGTCCAAAAGGTTGGTGAGCCCTGCGTGAAGCTAATTAAGGCTCTCTGGCACAGAAAGTCTTTTCAAATGATCTGTCACCGGCTGGCAGATTATTGCATTTTTAAAAAAAAGAAAGAGAGAGAAAGAGAAGAAAAACATCTTTAAAAAGGGAGAGAGAGAAAAAAAATGTGGAATATTTTGGAAGCGTGCACTTCAACTTGCTGTGCTCAAAGGGGCTTATGAGAGCAGGCACCAAAACAAAAGGAAGCTGCTTTAAGTATGAAATCTGGGGCAAAACCTGGGAGAAAATGGGAAAGAGGCCGGCTTACCAATTTCACGCTTTCTCTCGTTCGTAGTGCAGTTGTGGAAAAACTCCGTCATTAGGCTCTCCAAGGCTCGGAGCGAGGCCTCCTCGGATGCCTGCCAAAGAGGTTTTAAGAGAAATAGTCACACTTGGAAGGTTGACAAAATGCAGCCTTATATCGTTGCAGGGGGGGGGGAAGGAAACAAAAATATTTTTACGCATCTCTTGTGGTTCAACATCGGTTTGGCGTCCGGCTACACTTCTACCTGGCTCCGTGGATTGTGATCTTCAATCCTGACATTGCCTCCACCTGAGGTCCCAAACATTTGAGCAACAGTACTCAAGAGTACGGGTAGTCCTCAAATTACAACCACAATGGAGTCCGAAAATTTATGTTGCTAAGCGAGACACTTGTTCAGTGAGCTTTGAGCCATTTTATGACTTTTCTTGCCACGGTTTGTTGAGTGAATCACTGCAGCTGTTATAAGTTAGTAAAAATGAAGTTGTTAGTTGTTACTAACTTGTTAAGAAAATCTGGTTTCCCTATTGACTTTTTGCTCCCCACAAAAGGGGATCACCTGACCCCAGAACACCACAATGTAAATCACGTGACCCTGGGGATGCTGCAACCGTCGTAAGTCACTTTTTCAGTGCCCTTGTAACTTCGAAATGAACTGTGGTAAGTTGAGGACTACCTGTATACCTGTTGGGGGTTTATACTACAAGCACCTCTTGGCATTCTTTGTACCGCGTTCAGAGAATCTGGGTCAGACTCGTGTGTGTGTGTGTATCTAAAACTGAATCAAGGTTCCATAAGACCTAAAAATAAAGCTAGGATTTACAGATCAGAACTGGTCGTCTATGGAGACTCTCAACCATCCAGGTCATGATTATTGTCCCAAAGAAGCTTTTCCAAAAAGCAATGGAAGAAGTTTCTTGGATGAGAAGCAAAACTTTTTCAAAGAAGAAAACCAAGAAAGTCCAACTCCCTTTTTGAAAAGCATCTTTGAGAGGATTAGAACCAATAAGGATGTCATAAAAAATGGCACAAAATGGTAAAGTGACATAGAAAATAGACTTAAGGTAACTGAACCAACAGAACAGCAGCTAAGACTGTTTTTCTTCGATTGTCATTTGGTCAACAGGGGCTACATTTTCAACATGATTTCCTTTTCCATGAGCAAAAAGTGAAAATACACCCAATATTTAAAAAAAAAAAAAACATATGTAGGCTTCTTCAATCTTGGGACCTAGAGTCGATCTGGACTGCATTTATTTATTTCATGCTTATAGTCTTCCAACAATTTACATCCAAACAATGCAAAAACTGTCAACACAAAAATGTCATAAATCCGTAGTATTAGGCCGTGGTTGCGTAATACTCAACTAGACCCTGTGAGAAGAGTTGAAGTGTATTATAACTGGAAATTTCAAATAAGACCGCTTCAACTGTAGAAATATACAGCAACACTTACTCTGTGTCCAAGCATCCAGAAAGTGGTTCAGCTGCCACTCTGAGTCCATCTGTTGGGTTTCTCCAATTTTCACAGGGTAGATTTTATAATGACACTTTCTCCTACTTTTATCAGGACTATTTGCACTCAAATTATTTCGGAAAAACTGAAGTTAGGCTGGCTTACTCATTGCAGCTTGTATCTTAGCAACAGACTACTGAATTTTCACCGGCTCTTCATAGTTTTAAAATAGAAGGCACTTCCCATAAGATTACTGATCTGGAGATTATTCCAGATATGAAAAATATGGAAAATTGTCAAACGTGCCAGTGCTTTAGGTTCAAATGTAAGTTCTCCTTCACAACTCTTTGAACATTTATCTTTTAGATACCAAAATAGATTGGCTCAACTTTTTCATCATGCTTTTTGCAATTCTCTCCAATGCTTATTTATTTTATTTAATGCATTGGCCCCCATCTTACCACCGTTGAGCAGCTTACAATATTATTATCACACAATCATTATTATTGAGAATATTCTTTCCTTCTTCTCTTCTGGGTTCCAGCTCAATTTGAATGTTTGGACCAGATATTCTGGTCCTCCAGTTTACATTGGAAACAGTAAAACTGGAGTTAAAATCAAGAATGGCGAATTTGCCATTGAAATACGCTCACTGCAGCAACAGATTAAACACACTTTTAATTTGCTTTCTTTCTGAATCTTTGATCCTTGTTGATACAGCATTAGCCCAAGGGCTCTCCAAATTTGGCAACTTTTAAGACTTGTGGACTTCAACTCCCAGAATTCCCCAGCCAGTTTGGAGATCCCTGGGCTAATGCTGTATTGACAAAGACCAAAGATTCAGAAAGCAAAATTAAGTGTGTTTTTAATCTGTTGCTGCAGTGAACATATTTCAACCGGTTGGGGGAAGTCTGAGAGTTGAAGTCCACAGTCTTAAAGTGGCCAAATTTGGAGACCCCTGCACTAACCAGTTGGGGTTTTTCTTGCTTATTGAATAAGGAGACTGTACTACTTCTGTCACCTTTTTTATAATCTACAAAAAAAGCTCAGTCCAGCTGTCACCTTGCCTAGAAGAGATGATTGCCAGGCGAGCAATAATACCCCAGTGTTCCTCTTTCATTTGCAAAACAACATCTTTAATGCATATTCTACATATTCTACAGCAAACCCACGTTTGCTGAAATATTAAGTTGATCTTGCTACAGCTTCCTCTATATCTCATGTACAGTATGATTCCAAATGTTTATAAAACATATGAATCATTGTTCTGAATGGGGCCAAGGACTCTTTGTCTAGAATTTTGTTTCAGAGGATTGCTAGCAAGATATTCTGATCACTTGCAAACAGGAAATGGGAGTCCCAAATCTCTGCACTGTTATTCCCCTTCAACTAGTATTTGGAAACACGTTTAAATACCTTCAACCAGGCCAGGATACTGAGTCTTCAAGAATTTTAACAGACCTGTTGTCCAATCAATTTACTTAACACTCTTTGAAAACAACTGGTAAGAGCCCTGGTGGCACAATGGTTAGAAAGCAGAACTGCAGACTAACAGCAGTTCGATCCTGACTGGCTGAAGGTTGACTCAGCCTTCCATCCTTCCAAGGTCGGTAAAACCAGGACCCAGATTATTGGGTGTATTGGGTGTATATGTTGACTCTGTAAACTGCTTAGAGAGGGCTATAAAAGCACTATGAAGCAGTATATAAGTCTAAGTGCCATTGCTGTTGCTATAATACATACTGTACAGTACAAATAGCAAAATAGGATCTTTGGAAAAAGAAATATAAAAATGATGTCCGAATTAGTCCTAATATACAATTTTTAAGTCAGAATTTATGATTTCCCTCTTCCCCTAAAACATCATGAAGGACTAGCCAGTTATTCACTATCTGTAAACTGTTTAAAGAAGTTGTGGGAGGAATGCAACACAATGTTGTTTGGTTTTACGAAGGTGATTTGCAGAATGAAAAATACATTAGATTTTCTATATTTGAACAGCTACATGGTATTTCAAAAGCCATGTCTTCCCAATGACTAATGAATTCAAGCTTCTTCCTTCCAAGCATGTGCTTGGAAAGATGATATTTTTAAAAGTTGTACTGTAATGATTTTCCATGTCAACACAAGCTGTTCTCCTTACTAACTCCCAATTAGTGGCTGGGAACAGCAAGAATTGATTGTAAGAATAGCTTTGATGTAACAGGGTAAATCCAAGCCAGTGTGTAATTACATGAGGGTTTAAAACAAATTAACACAAGTGCCGATGAGCAGAATTCAAAACCACTAAGTACTTGGTGACAAGGCTATAAATTTATTTATCTAGCTTTTTTAGAGTAATACATGGGAAGGTATGTGTCTCTTCATTTAGTCATCTGCAAGGTAGCTTTACTGAAATGTAGTAATCATGTAGGAAGCTTGTGGTTCAAAAGAGGATCTGACCACCCATCTTAAATTTAAATCTGATATAATTATTATCCTCTAATGACCCCATAATTCCTTGCGGGACGGAGTCTGGGCAACTGAATGGAGCTAACAGAGTGTTTGAATGGCCGGATGCCCTTCCTGTTGCCAATGTGGAGTTTTGTTCAGCAGATCTATTCTCAGTGTGCCCAGAGAGAGAAATATCTGCCTCTACCTAGGATCGAACTCACAGGCTCCTGATTGCAAGGCAAGAGAGCTTCACCCCTAGGCCACCTCACCACTCCAATTTAAATCCAATATACTAATTATATTATCAATAATCCTGTAAATGGAAGTAGTTCTTATTATCCTACCGAAAATATTTCTACAGACTGAAAAAACAAAAACAAAAAAACCTCCGCATCAACCTCTGGATTGGTTATAGTTTCTTAGTAATCATGCAAGACTTTCACACCAATAGATTCACAAGCCTACTCGACTCAGAATTCAAAAGAAAAACATTTTAAGAATTTCCACAAAGGCAGGATCATGAAATTGTTTATTTATTGGATTTTTATCGCATCAAATATATCTAATACCTCCTCTTATTTTCCCGACAACAACAACCCTATGAGGCAGGTTGGGCTGAGGGAGTGACTGGCCCAAAGTCACTCAGCTACCATTCATGTCTAAGCTGGGACCAAAACTCCCCGTCGCCTGGCTTCTAGGTCAACATCTTAGAAAAGATTTTTTCCTTGCTTAGAATAATGATGTGGAGGAAAAGTATTTTAGAATATCTATTTTATCTCTATAAGGTAATCATTTACTGTGTTATCTAATCACCTTCCCCACTCCTTGCTGTAATTTTTCCCAGCCCTGAGTAACTTTTATAGCATCTTTCAGGGCACACAAAACACTTCGCAACTCCTATTTAATTTCAAACAAACATTGTAACACGGTTGAAAGCAACCCAGTAATTCATGAGCAAGACCGAACTTTTGCCTAAATCTAAGATTTTATTTGCTCTACCTGTTGGATTTCCCGTCTTGAGCCCTGCCAATAAACAATCAGAAGCTTCGCAAACAGTGGTGTTCATTCTTTTGGCGAGAACATAAAGTGGTTCATTCTTTTGGCGAGAACATAAAACTTAGCACTTTGAAGCACGTAGCGCTAAACAAGGTCCCAACAAATGTATCACTCACGCTGATGAAAAAATAATGGCATTTAAACGAAGACTG